ACGAGAATGTTCTCTTAAAGAGACAGTGGCAAGGAAATGAACACAAAGACCATGTTGCCATATGGCCACACCATGCGGTAGAGGGTTAAAATCAATTCAAAGTCAAATCTCCTGCTATTTGTGTGATGTTGCTTTCTACCAGTCTACAGCATTTCAAATTGGTCACTTATTGATGTTTGAAAAAGACAGCCATCTATATACTGTAGGGAGCGATGAAGCTCACTAGAATTGGAAACAGAGCTGATATGTCTGCAAATACAAGGAACAAGGCCATTCCTCAGTAAACACAGTATATCATGGTGATCACAGTAGGGATTCAGTGCAGATAAAAACTAGCACTGTTGTGCCTGATCACTCCATCTTCAAACTGTCTAGAGACAAACATCCTGTCTTTCAAACCCAAATCATTTTTCTGACTTCAACATGAGCATACAGGTTCAGTCTACAGCAGAAGAAAACAAACACCCACAACGATTTCTTACATGTTAGCTAGCCTCTTTACCTGAGAGGATGGTTGATAAACATACCGTTTGTGAGTAAGTGAGTGTATGTGCTCTTCATCTGTGTTTGCGGAGAGTAAAGTTGTGATAATATCTATGGGCAGAGCGGTACATGTCCTCCGGCAAGGTAGTAGTGGGCCAGTCAGAGATCAGGTGGATAAATTTAGCCTCGCTCCATCTTGGATTCACATCTGAAGAGGGCGGAAGAGAGCTGTGTAACAGCAGTTTTATTAAAATAACCAGGTCAAAGCAGACGCAAACTGTGTACAATTAAAAGAGACCACTGTGACAACTTATATATATATATATATATATATATATATATATATAGCTTGTAACCTGTATAAACTGATATTAATTTTATTACACCATCAAATAGCTCTGAGTAAAATAATGAATAAAAGTGAGTAATAGCATTTGCACGTGGTCTGTTTCAGAAGAAAAAATAGGTTAAACAGAACTGTTTTTCTGTCTGGTGAAAGCATATTCAAGTAGCTTGATATTTGCACCGTCATCATGCACGCCTCTCATTTCGGAGTGATATAGTTAACAAACGCATTGCTTTTTAAAATCGACCGTCAGGGAAGAGAAACGGGGCTACTTTGTCAACATGTCATCGTGCAGATTCTCCCCCCTAAGCCTTTTTAAAGTAGAGAGGGGAAACAGGCAGCCGACATAAAAGACGACATCCTGGGCTCCTCTTAGCGCGTAGAAAGCAGCCTTTGACAAGCCCATTATGAGAAAGAAAATAATTGTCTCGCTTCTCGTTGTGCAGAAGCCTTCAAGGTCCCCCAGAATCCTGCACAAAGCCGAGACGTTTTGATGTAGTTATCTAATGCAGTCATCAGTAATGTACATTTCCTCCTATCTGCTCTGTTTACTCCAGCAGTGCTTAACAGGGCGGCTGTGTACCGATGTATTCCTTTCACCTGGGTGCAACCGTCTGTGAAACACTTCGAATGATTTTACTCTAATGGGAAATGACTGTTTTGTGCTATAAGTGTTAGAATTTCCGGCTTTCTAACAGCAAAATGCTGATTACGGATTTGTTGTCTCACACACTAGATGTTGCCAGTCCTATCAATATTTATTATATACAGTAGCTCAATGTTCTATGTAGAACTGATGGAGGTATTCAAATAAGCCAGGCTTTTACTGCAGAGGAGGATGGAATATCATTATCTCGGCAGGCTGTTGTGCTGTTGTCGTTTAAGTGCATGTGATATTTTTTGGCTCGTCTCTCAATCTTCCCCATCAGCATTCGCTCCACAGGATCAAACTGGCATGCTCAGTGGTCTTCATTCCGCTATCCTGAAAAAGAGTGACTGACTGTGTTTTGGTCACTATTATCTGATGCAATAATCATGTCCTGTTTTCATATTTCACACACAATAGCATAAGCCATCTTACATCGT